TAACGCTAATATAAGAGTTTTCAACAATCTGAAATTCATTTTATGGTGATATTTGGGTACTAGAAGTATTTTGGTGTAAATCATTACAATAACAGAGGYGCGCAAAGCATARTACTGAAAACTKGGCCTTTRAAGACAAACGGTCATCCGSCRTCYCCTTTGTGCTTTTGTTTATGTTTGAAAATGAAAATTCATCGTAAATAAGCAAAAAATTACTCTTTAATATCCCTTTATGCTCCATGAATGGAGATTCTGTAAGTTAAACGGATTGCGAATGGATATTTGAAGTCAACTCATTATTCACATATGATTGTGAAATAATTCCTTGACGTCACTTCATTCGCAATTTTGACTCTCATATGGCTAAAAAATATTTTCTAATAGGAATTCATTAAAATTTTACTAGATAGAAAAAAAACATTCCTTGCTGTAATCTCTTTCTTTTCGTCTGCCGTTTTGCACTTTCAATCTTCGAACTGAGTAAGAGAGWCTAATCAWTGTTAATAATGGCTTCCTGCTTTGACAACTTCTAAACAAAAGAAGAAAAAAAGGATTTAAAAAGTAAATATTTATTGTGATTTCATATCATTTTTCTTTGACTTATTTAAAATGCGAAGTTTAGCGGTCATCGATAACTTCAAAATAATTGAGTGTTACAGATAAAACTTCATGTCGGAGAATCCAAAGAAAATATTCTGTATCATTCAAATTTCATATTGCAAAAATTATGTTGCGCCAGTTGTAGTTTTTGCGCAACCATCATTCATGGATTCTTGCGAAAAGTCGCGGGAAGCGTTGATCGGAGAGTCTCGTTCCTCTCTCTGATATAAAGAAGCCTTCGCGGCAATCCTTCATATAGAAAGTCAGGGTCGAGTGGAGGTTTGATGGAACGTTTTGATTTTGAAGACATCATGCAGTTGTAGAGAGTGCGACGTTATACAGGATTGAAGCGATTGAGRTTTGTATATCCACCGCGGAGAAAACAACTGAAACCTTATATGTATAACGCACGCTATATGCTATATGATTAATCTCTATAATTATGCTAAGAATGTCTTAGTTTGACAGTCCTTAATTAACTATCATCMCCAATGTAATGATAAACCTCCTTTATAGTTGCTAGGTCTGTTATAATTTACTCGACACTTTTGGTATGCAAGTTCGTCGAACCATTTTCTGAATTCCTTCTTTATAACTGTAGTTCCTAGTACATCTCGTACAGTACAGAATTTTACCAAGCTCTTCTATAGAACTTCTAGATATAGATCTTCTTAACTAGATCTAGTTCTTGTCTAGTTTATAGGTACTGAATTTCACAAGTTTAAAAAGCTGTAAGCTCTGTAAATATAACATACTAGTATGGAATGAACTCTTGATTCCTAAAAAAAAACTAAAAAGTGATCTAATTTTAAAGAAAATGCAAGAAAATGTATCAAAATTTCAGGAATGTAAACAGAGAAGTCAGCTATCGATCAATTCTTACAGCAAGTTACGTCAGCTAGTCTTTAAAATTTCGTTAACACCCAAATAATTGACCTTGGTTGGCATTTGAATGTTTTTCCCACACCCCTGTTAAAAAAATCTGTATTTGCCTATGATGTTCTTTGTAATTTAATCTTGAATTGTCAAACGTTTTGAAGTGGGCCGTCTAAGCGTTAACAATTTCCACTGTATTAGTCTATTGCATTTACAAAAAAACTTGTGATAGATAAGCACTACGGTCACACTAAGTTTCTTATCTGTTTTATAGTTGTCACTTATGAATTAATGTTTAGCAGCAAATTTCAAATTAACATCTTTGAGTATCAGTACCTTCAAATAACCCTTATTGCCTTTAACCCAGCCAATCACAACATCAGATCCAGCCATATTCCCATTTCCAGGCGATATCCCAAAGCCAACCCATCCAAGTGTTTCGACTTCGACAGCAAAGGATATTATTTTCTTATCATCGTCAATTTTCCAATAAAGTTTGTAAGTTTTAGCTTCATCGAGGAATGCTGAGTTACTGTACTCGGTATTGAGACTTGCAGAGGCGAAAGAAGCGGCGAGCAACACTGAAATCAAGAGTTTTAGAATAGAAGACATTTTCCTGGTGTCTCGTAGTTTTCCGTCTCTAATCAAATTTCCGTAGCAAGACTAGGCGCATTACTCAACACTTTAATACAAACAAAAAATGACACCATGATCCCGGTTCCATGGAAACGGTATTTAACAATTTGATAAAGCAAATGCACTTGACCCATGAAATACGCAATTGATAATTACTTGCTTGGGGCTGATGTATCTTTTACTATTTGATTTTAACCAAATTATGGACTACCAGGGAGGAAATGGTAGTGATCGCACTTAAACCGTGCAACTGTACAAACTAAATAGTGCTATTAATAATAATGATAATAATAAAATTTAATAATTATGTACTACAAGAGGTTGTTACATAATTATTTACAGTAAAAAGGATAATATAATCTAAGTTGATCTAAAAAATTCAAATTTTGGCAACTAATACGTTTTTAATTTAAATTGTTGACCTCTCAGGCCAAAAAAATAAATACTTTTAAAAAGATGCCTATAATAATCAAAGTCGCCTTTTTGTTCATGATCAACAAAGTTTCTTCTTGTTCTAATTTGAAATCTTTGCCCAAACAAGACTGTCTAGCGGTAGAATTCAGTTTACTACTCTAAGTTCCATGCGATCCGCACATGCGCGTACTTCTGATGGCCAATCTCGTACCCAGCGCCCTTGTCCCTCTCGTAGAGCCTGTGAGCCTGCGAGTAAGAGGTACAGTGGCGCTGGGTACGAGATTGCTGATGGCTAGACTGATGCATTCCGATGACATCACATGCAGATACCACATTTGTAAACGAATAGTTTTTTTTTATCACATAAAAGCGCAAGTAGAATCTGACATTTACTAATGATGTATTTGTACATCTATACGTTTGAGCTTCCGGTCATGTAATAACACAGCCAACCCAATAGTTAATTATTAAATTCTTAACTTCCGGTGGTCCAAACGCGACATGACACATAGATAGATAGAT